TTTATAGTCTTTAAAACGAATGTGGGGCCTCTTTATGCCTTTATCAAACAAAACCCTGAAGGAATTAGGGCGGAGAGCAAGTGCTGTTAAGTCCTGGTGCTGTTCTAAAATGTGTTCTTTTCTTAGAGGGAAAATCAGTTAAATGAATGGAAACTTTTGGCCCCTGATGGCTGCTGTATGCACTTAGGGCTCATCATTTGCCCTGCCTAGATGCACATCACTTCTGCCAGAACAAATGAGTATTTCCCTGATTAATCAGTAGCCCTAGGGGAACTGCTCTTCTGCACATATATTATGATCATTAAGAAGCCTCGCTATCCTGTGCTTGTTGCAAGATATGGAAAATGCAAAGTAAATTGTGCAAAATATACTCTGATTATTAGACACATTTCTCTGTATCTCTTTCAGTAATGGTGTAATTCAGTATCCTGAGATGACAAATGATGTATTTAAGTTCATTTTTCTGTGCTGCCCCATAAATGTTATTAACTCAAACATTTAAATGCAGGAAGATGGAGATGCTGTGGGGCTGTTCTTGTCATCCCTGAAGGAAGCCCCTGTCAGGGATGAACCAGCCCTAATGCAGCACCTGCCCGGGGCATTTCTCGCTGCAGTGTTGTGGGGCTGGCCGTCAGGGTGCCCGTGCCTACGGCAGATGGGGGGTCCCAGCTCTCAGCAGGGTGGTGGGGAGCTGGGCAGGCACAGCTGAGCACGGGTGCCTGAGGCTGGGCTCTGCTCACTGGCTGGAGTCAGAGAAACCCAGCTGCATGGCTGGCGTTCCTCCCAAGAGCATCCTTACACCTCCGCTGCCACACATGGATCCACGGGGTCACTGTAACCTGCCAGACCAGCACAGACTCACTGGGGGGGTTTGCGGGGCTCCCCCTGCTCCTGGGGCTCAGCCAACCCTACCCACACCTGACATCTCACAGGGGACAGCTGTGCTGGGCAGCAGCCTTGGCCGGAGCAGCATAGCTTGGACCCAGCAGTGGCAGAGGGGCAGGACAGAGCATAGAGTCCTTTATTTAAAAGAGCAGCTTTCACTTTGCAAGAAAATTACTAGTTAAATCACATTTGACAGACTCCAGAGTAATTGCTGTGTGAGCAGCCTTTGAGTTTAGGAGGCAGGCGTGACTGCGTGTTTACCTGACAATTAGGTGGCTCATCCCATCCAAGCAAGTGTCTCACCATTGTATGGTATTGGACAGCTAATTAAACAGCAAATTAAAATGAATGGGTCCCCCTTCCACTAGTATAACCACCTCATTCTGGCATAAGGATTGCATTGTTGCAAGATAAATCATTTGCTTTTGGACAACAGGGTCTGTCTCCTTCCTGCCCAGCACTTGGTCACTTCCAAAGAGTGGTGATCGTGCCATAGAGGGCACGGACCTGGTCTCTTCTTTCTTTCCTTTCCTGTGTCTTCAGTCTCTGGTTTCCATGGAAAGGACACTCAGGCCTGCGGCGTGGATCAGGACAGCCCATGTGGAGGCTGTCCTCTGTGTCCTGGGCTGAGACAGATGGAGAGAGAGGGGGCACAGGGCTGGCAGGTGGCAGAGCCCTTTGCTTTGCTCTATCTAAAACACACAAGCATCACCAGGTCCCACTGCCAACAGTTACCACTCACCGAGACAGAGCTGAGAGGCGGCTGCACGGGAAAGGAGCCATTAAACGCTGCTTGTGTCTCCTCCACAATCACAGGGCCTTGCTGCCCAGAGCTCTGCGTGGCGCTTGGAGACAAAATGAAAGGAAATGAGAAACTGTGGCTCCATTATTTCAAAGCAGATTGCGCAGAAGTTAGTCCACTGCTAACAGGAAGAGCCCTGGTCATTCCAAGCTGCCCTGAGACTGGTGCTTATCTGTGACCCTCTTGGTTTAGGAAACTCAACAGAACTGACTGGGAGAAACTTCCACAAATTGCAGCTTGTGGAAGTCTTTCCACTAATGTTTTTCTCACATGAAAGAGAATTTGACTGTCTGATATTGTCCCCTGCTGGGCCTATATTGATTTCTTTTTTAAAGATGAAAATACATGATGCAGTGCTCTTGAAAAATTAGAAAAACAAATCAGCCTGGAGCTCAATATAATATTTAATTTTTAAAATGCTAGCTAAAGACTATACGGAAGGGAAGAGAAATATGTATCTTGTAATAAAAGATGTGAGCTTGGAAACTGGCCTCACTTCCCTGGCTCCCTGGACTGGAGGGCACTGCTTCTCTGGCACTCATATGTTAACAAGGTCATCTGCACTCCCAGGAGAAACTCAGAATTCATAACAGGAGTTTCAGCAGATAAAAAAACAGAAGAAAGAAAGATAGATTTGCAGTTTCTTTACATAAAAATATATTCAGAGAGATTTCCAATGCCCATGTCCCTCGCTATGGTTGGGGTTTTAACTAAGTCATTTGTTTATTAATAAAGATCAATGTTTATTTTATTTAAGCATTTCAGCTCCCCTTAAAAAAGAACATCTAGAAAATAAGTTCAGTGTCAAATGATCCATAGCAGTGCTATCCTCTGTATTAATAAAACAAAGGGAATAATACAGATGTCCTTGAGAGTAACTGTTTCTTACAGAGATAAGATGGTGATTAATGGGAAATTTGTTCTTGCCAGAGGTGGCTATCAAGTATAAGTAAATAAATGGTACGGTTCCATTCTTGCAGTCTACCTACCATAAATATTATTACTCTGGTAATAGGAAGCTGTAATACTGCTGGCCATTCGAAGGTTAAGATTCTGAAAACATCCTTGCCCCTAAGGTTATTCTGTTGATGATGTCATTTACTGTGATGCCACAGGAAAAACAAATGGCATGGCAACCAATTCAATTTAGTTTTAAAATAATTGCCAGAATATAATGTTATTTTCTGATGGTGTCACTGCACCTTGTCAAAACTAGCCAAAGATCTTAACCTCAAGAAATGGAACAGCCTTTATGAAGCTGGATTTTAAACCTGATAAAGTGCTGGAACAAATAAATATGGGTTATGTCCCTTCTGATACATTTTAAGACACCTCCCTATAGACTGTGGTACATGTCCTGCAGCAGCTCGCCTCCTTCCTAAGTACTCGGTGGGAAGCAGAACATTGCTAGGAGGCACCAACCTCCTGCAGTTCTCCTTAGCACTTGTCTGAAGTTACTTGCACAAGAGACTGAGGATTTCCAATGTTACCTTAACTGGAGACAGAAAAAAACCCACTCCTTCAAAGACATTCAGTCGTCCCCACAGTTTATTTATGGATTTTGTATTTCACGGTCCAAATATATTAACTAAGTTATTCTGTCAAGAAATATAAATGATGATCATTTGTTAGCAGCACCACTTGAATAATTGCATCAAAGTGTAATAAAGTTATTGAAGGGATTTATTAACCTGATGAAGTAACTCATTAAATCCTTCAAGTGCATTAATGAAGGAGGAAGTGTGGGCCTTTTGGTGTAATTGGAGATGGGCAATTGTGCGTCTGGGCCAACCTGATAAAAATGATCAGATATCCTGAATCACTTTTATTTAGCCAGTAATTTTGGGCATTTCTACATTTCTGCTCTGGATTTCTACGTTATTTTCCAACCTAAGTAGATCTGCCTCAGAACTCAATTACTTCTTTTGTTTTCCTGTGACCTGAAGTTACATTTCTATGTTTACAAGTTGGGAGCTGAAGCACACATCAGTTGATGATGAGTTTCTTGGCCCATGCAGCCGAGAAGGGACATGAGCCAAACCCTGCCTTTTGAAGTGCACTAGCATGGCCAGCTGTTGCAGTTGACAGGGACCGTAGCGAGCCATGACTTGCTCAGGTAACTGTAAGCTGTGTCCACGGTGGGAGGTGAGGAGCACACCTGGTCCTTCCCGCTGGCAGGCTGATGCTGTGCTCAGCAATAAGATACCAGGTGAGTTTTGGCTCTTCCGGCAGCCTTGGACTAAACCTCTTGTGTGAGATGTGCCTGGTGGTTGTTGAAAGTAGAGCTATCTGCTGCTAATGGAGTGTGGTGCTGGGCCAGCACGACCCAGCCCTGTGTGCTTTAACAAGACACATTCCTGAAAGCTGCTGTGGAAGACCTGGCTAAGGAACACAGAGGTCAAACGCAGCTGAAGTCAAAATGTTAGCTGTGCTGCACTAATTCATTTTCACAGACAGCAATCAGTACGACCAACCTCTGCTCAGGGAAAAAAAAAAAAAAAAAAGCTGGATGGTAGAAAGAGGGTGCACTGACGGAGGGAGGACAGGTCAGAGCGCAGCACGCCAGCAGACTTGTCCAAGGATCAGCTCTGGGATCACCTCCTGCACTTCCAGGCAGATTTCAGTGAATCAGCAGTTGATTTGGTTTAAGCCAGACTTGATTCCTTTTATAACGTTTTTAAAGGTTAGGAAAACCACTGCATGACTACAAGCTGCACTTGTCCAGTTTGCAGCATTAAAAAGCTTCCGAGTACTCAGGTAGTGTTACTGTCGGGGGTTCTGCTATAACCCACTGCTATAGGACGTAGTCTACCATATGGCTACAGCTGTGTGGCACCTGGGCCATAAAAAGAGGGGAGCTCGGGAACAGACAATTATTTCCAACATTACTTGTGGTGTTGCTGATTTATGGTGGGCTGGAATCAGCAGCATGAAATGAGGGTTGTTACAGAACTGTTTTTTATGATCAGGTGGCAGGATGTGTGCTTCTGCTGAGTGATGACATTCACAGGAGTAGGACATCTGAGAAAGAGAAAACTCTGGTTTCAACTCCCTGTCAGGGAGTTTTTATAAGGAGATGTGAAAACATGCAATTTGTGTCTTCCTGGTAGTTCCTGCACCCTGGGAAAACTAAAGCTGGTCTTTGTAGCTTAAATCAATTAGGAAAAGGATGTAGGATGCCTTTTTTTTGTTTTAGGCACGTATTTTCATGGTTGCATTCCAGATAAAATGCTGTTCTGTCAGGGATTCTAATCACCTTTCAGCTATTTATGTAAAATGCACGTCTCTGAAAGAGGTAATGAATGCAATATACCTGAGGCTTGAAGACTGCTGGGATGTGAAGCACAGCTGTAACCAAGTGAGATGTGGGCATTATTCTCACACATCAGGCCTCCCGTCACCGCTGACTCGGCTGCCTCATCGCGCGTCTCTGTGATGTGGGAGACAAGGTATAGAATGTGAAAAGTCAAAATAAATTCACTGTACAACGCTTTACAATAAGGTCACCTCTGATGTAAGGCTAGTATTTAATGGCCACCAGCTTCATTATAAATCTGTTTTCATGAGTGTGTGCTCGGCTTAAATTGTGAGTCTTGGGAGAGGTGAAAAGATTGATTTAAATCAGACCCGTGAGGTGAGCAGGTGGGGAAGAGAAGGGAGCAAATGTGTCATGTCGAATCATGACATTTCAGGTGATCTACACATCACTGCCCGTCTTTTGGACCTCAGCCCCTGCTCTAAATAGCTATTTAAGAACTTGGAATTGACAGCTAGAGCAGGAGCCAAGACCTGCTGCAGGCTGGGCAGCATCTCCCCTTCCCAGGCGAGCTGGCTCCAAAGGAGAGACAATATGCTGCAAGGAAACGTGTCTGCTCCCTCACTACTTCCAGCTGCATATGGACCCAGGCTGATGCTGTTCCTTGCTAGGGAATGCATTATATGATAAATTGAAGCTGCACTTGTTCTTAGTCAGAAGATCACAAGAAGAAGTATTAATTTAAATTTTCAGTCATCAATTTAATTCCCTGCTTGTGCCGAAGAACATACTGGTTTTGGCGTGGATAGGTTAAGTACGAAGAGAAGCAAAGTGTTTGCCACCTTTAGTTCTATTTGTAGAAATGGAGTTGAGCAGTTAATCAGTGCTTAGAAAAGGTGTACCGTATTATGTTTACCTAAAATAGAACAACTGAAAGACGCACTTTTTACCCTTCTTAACTGTTGAATAAAATGTAACACAAGAGATAAGGGAACACGGGCACATTACAGGCACAACACATTCTGAACATGCTGCTTTCATCTAAAGAACTCAACACTTGAAATATGTCAATATTATATTATTAGTCTGCTTCCATGTTTGCTGTTCTGAAAGAGATGAAGTTAGCATGACTTAAATAATTTCCAAAAAATTAAATAGAAAATCTATATAATTATTGAAGCAATACGGAAAAGGAAAACCATAATGGCTTCCAATTTAGAGTGCATCTGACAGTCCCCACTTCTTCGTTCTCTGAGTCTTGTAAAATTTTGTGTAACAGTCTGCTATTTTGAGAAACATTAGCTCTTGTCTCTCCCTTTTACAGTCTGCTAAATAGGCTGTATATCTTCTAACCTTGCAGATGACAAAATGCACTCCTTCACCATAGTCCACACAGTGCTAGATCATTTCAGCCTTTTTGAGTAAATGACACGCAACTCTATAACTGCATGATTAGGCCCATAGATTATCAGATCACGCCTATAAATCTTCACCATAGCTACCACTCACTTGGCAGAAATAGTGAAGTTTCATCATTTGTTCTCATGTAGAAAACATGCTGTGAAATGCAACCTCAAAGGTCACTGGGATGGCATTTCCTTTTGTGGCCCTTCATCAACTTGCAGCTAATGCAGCAATTACCAAGCCCAATTACCTCTTTGTTGACTTCAGAGAATTTCTTTTCCAAAGTCTGGATAGTTTGATTCCACTCCCATCAGTTAATAGGTGAGGTGGATTCAGCTGTTGGTACAATTGTTAGATATTTCTGAAACAAGCTATTTGTGGAATAAGGGCCAGTCTGAATGAGGAAGTTGTGTCAACAGAACTTGAATGGGGTATTTAAGTGGTGCTAAAAAGATGTGTGCAAAAAAAAAAAGAAGGTGCACGGGCACTTTTATTTCAGTGCTAATTTTATTTAAAATAACGTGTTCCTAGTCCACCTCAGCTAAATCCAAATAAACTGAAATGGAAAACACTGTACAGCTTTTTACATACATATATTTCCCAATAGTTTTGCATATATATACATATATAAAAATACAAGTTACTATATCCGATGCAGTTCCTTAGCTTGTGAGCTGTAGTCACATAGTCAGCATTTATTTAAACACAGAGTTTGGAGACATTGTACAAACTCATACATTTCCTTTGTTAGCTAACAAAGGGCTCTGACAAGCTACATAGCTTTTGTTACAGCCACATTTATATTAGAGCCGCTCAGTGCTAACGTGAGTTGCACCGTTCAGAAAAGCTAGAAAAGGAACTGCTATAATATACTTATTTGGCAACAGTCAAGCACTGATACGTGCTCTTTAAATCACAACATGTTTGACTAAACTGAAGCCAATGGAATAACTCTTTACAAAGGAGAAGAGCTAAACTGTAATATGTTAGAAGTGGCTGTATCGTTTATTCAGTGTTCCAGCTCTTTGTCCACTTACAAAGGAAGACAGGTACATTTTGATACCAAGTATATGGGCGTTACTCCCCCTTTGCTCTGCTCTCTATTCTGCTTTTCTTGAAGGGAGTAATTGCTAGGGCTGCTTTCAGGAGTTTGAACTATAGGTACCTGACATGCACCTGCCAGGAGCTCAGCAGAGTCGAATGGCATTTAACCGTGGTCCCTGTTTGCCCTGCCCCTTAGAAGTTTTGCTTCTGTAACAGTAGGATTTTGTCTGGTTTGCTTTACCTTTGACATGTCACTTTCCTGTTTATTTTATTTACACTTTACTGATATTTAAAATGATGCCTGTTGATTTTAGATATATTTCCGCTCTCACCAAAATTACTCTCGGTAATTCTTCCTTTTCTGAAGTAGCCAAAAGGAAATCACTTATTTGTGTATAGTCCAAAATTCCATCTTGTTTCTGTTTGTATGCCCACGCACAGCTATCACCAACAGTTAACCGTGACCTTGGATCTTATTTAGCATTGTCTTTAGGTTTCCAGTTGTTGGAAGAAGAGACATATAGGGATCTCATTTTCGCACAAGGGACCTTGCACCATCTGTGTCGAAGTATCCTAACTGCAGTGACCCTTCAGGCATGCTACAAAAATATTTGCCTGGGAAGAGTGCTGGAAAGTATTGGGTGTAGGCTGGCCAGTGCAGAAGGACAAGAGTTGATATTTTTGAAGATCTGGCTCCACTATTGGTTGAAAGGTTTTCTCATTGCTGCTCAGATGTTAGCTGTATTCCTGGCTTTGTGTTAGCATGTCTGTGGCTTTGGATTGGCATCAGCTTTCTTATTTAAAATGACGTAAGTAAAATCAAATAAACATAAAGAAAAGCCTAAGAGGCGCTAATAAAATTATTAGATTAATAAAATGTATAAACCTGAGAGGAAATGCATTATTCAAAGTCAACTGATAGCGCATAAGAACTGCCAGCTTTTAGAAGGGAGGTAATGGATTATATGTGAGAGTAAACTTCTTGATGAGATGAGTGAAAACTGCTTTGGTAGATTAAGCTCTGTCAATAAAAATGTTCCAAGAGGGATAAGACTGTGATAATCTGTAATAGGGCTGGAATAATATTCTTGATTGCCCACGATTCAACCCTAATTCTAATGATTGTCTTGCAATTAGTCCAGCATTGTCACAAGTATCAGGAATATAATATACTCCTAAAATAAGAAAAGTAAACTTCTAAACCAAATTAATTTTCTTACAGCAGGTAATTTCAGGAAGATAATTCATGCACAAAGCATATTTTACTACTGACGATCAGTATTACTACTAAACATCATCTAAACATACTAACACATACAATGAAATAGAATAGCTTTTACTGATCTCTATAGTATTTGTGGTCCACCTCTGGATTTCCATCCATTTCAACATTAGTATGGAAGGAGACACAAAAACTTAGCCAAGTTTTCAAATTCTTGCTTCACAATACAGAAAGATATTCAATTATTGTGTTTCATACACTGAAAATTCCCATCAGTCTTACCAAAAGATGTGGAAATGGAAATAGCCATTTTTTTTGTGCATGGTATTTGAGAGACTTGGACATTGGTGCCCTCTACACACACTCTAGAGAACTGCATTCCTTTGGTTTGTCTGGTTTAAAATAAACTCAAAATGGTATGTGATAGATTTAAATCATTAAGTGGTATTTCAGAAGCTTAACGAAATGAATGAACCATTGCAATGACAAAGTTATAGTTTATTACATTTTACAATTGCAGAAAAGGCTATTTTCCTTGAGTAGAAGTGTCGTTGATTCAGTATCATCACCAGTAATTTAGGAATTTTTCTACAAAATGGCCTGCTTTCCCTAAAAATGAAGTGTCCTCCTTTCTAATAATCTTATTCCTGTTAATTAAAGTTGTTTTATTTAAAAATTCGCAAATTTGAGAATCTACTTTTTTAAAAAAATTATAGATAAACTATATTTTGTAAGACTTGGGCCTGCACAGGGAGCAGGAGCACAGTGCAGAGGTTCTGCCTTGGCTACAAACTCCTTCAGAGGAGAAACTGCCATTTACTGTGGGGCTGTAGGACACCCGGGAAGTAAAGAGTATGAGAGAGGATGAGGGTGGGACTGTAACTGCTGGGGAGGGCAGATTAGGAAGCAGAAATAAAAAGAAGTGACTTACAGTTGAACCAATGTGCATGGACTTTACTTTAACCTGCCTTGCAGTCAGCAGCAGCTGTGAGACTGGTGAGAACGCAGGTGATGAGGCCCAGGCAATAACAAACACTAGGTGTCAGATAATAAAACAAACAAAAAAAAAAGCATGTTTTTAATGAGACCCAATAGCTAATGGGAGATGAATCAAACGATGTCAAGCCATGTTAAAAAAAAAAGAATGTCAACTACCCATTGAACCAGCAAGTCCTCTCTACACTCCATATGCTTCATCCTATAGAACAGACCCCAACATGCTGTGGAGCCTTCTCATCATCTTGCATGACAGCAGGATTACATGTAATGGTAAAATGCAAGCACTGCTGTATTTTGACACCTTTTAAAGTGATATTTGTTGTTGGAAAACCGTGCAGAGGCCTAAGTGTTATATGAGGAGCCTAAATGGAGCCTGGCTGTTTCTTTGTGTGCTCTCCCAGCTAACTGCACTGCTGACAGACAGCACTATTAAGCAGTCATTAGCACCATGTCTGGAAGCTTGGCTTCTGCTGATAATAACAGGCTATTCAATATTTTGAGCCTTTGTAAGAAAGAGGGCACCTAAATGAGAATAATGAGGTCATTTTATGACATGCCTGAGGATATGAAACCGTGGGTAACTTTTTAGCTCGTTTGATATGTGAACACATTACATTCCACTGTGACAGATTATTTGTAGCCCTCAAAAAAAACCCAAGCTTCTTCCATTAAATCACACCAGACAACATCAGCACCAAGTGGTAATCAAAACACTGGTGTCACTGTAAAGCACAGCCTTCAAAATAATTCTGCGTGACCCAATCAAAAAGAAGACATGTGTATGGGCAGATACGTGAAGTAGAGCAAGGGGTTGATAGAGTGTCAGAAAACCAGCAAAATTTAACAGTTAGCGAAGTTGAAAAGGATTTTGTGATAAAAAGATTGCTTCCAATTCTGCATAATGTTTTCTTTTGCCGAACGAGATGCATGGACTATTTTGGCTTTGAAAAGATGAACAAACTGAAATTTTAATTTTAGACCTGCTTCTTGCTTAAAGCAGTGCCTGGTTTTCTTAGAACTGGCTCGCTTTCCCTTGCAAACGGGCCCAACATTTTACAGGAGGTTTTGCACCGCGGGTCTATTCCAAGATTCTCCGTGCAGTCGAGCAGCCTGGGTTCTGCGGTGGGTCCATTTTACACCACAGTCTCTTAGGGAGCACGTTGTTCCACTTCCTAGCTGTATTAGCCCACGAGTGAATGCTACAACCTACACAGGTCTGTGAATTAACACAGTTCGGTTTGTTGCTCAGCTTAGCGTTTTAACACTCTCAAAGTTTATAACAGCAGTAGGAAAAGTCTCCTTTTTTTCCTGGTTGTTCTCCAAGGTTACTTCCTACATTTCTGCCTACAGACGTGGTGCTCGGGGTGTGCAAGAGTGTGACACAACCTTCAGGCTGTGCTGCTGAACAAAGGAAGCACGCTGGTCCTCAGCTCTTTTTCTTCTTCTGGGAAGGCTCCGTGACCTTTGCTAGACAAGATGGTGGTGTGTGTGTCTAGTTTAGCTTCATTTTCATTGTATTTTCCTTTTCTGTTGTTTTTAGTGGTGTCATATGGGTGTAGTTAAGGGACATCTGCATAACACAACTTATTTCTTTGTATTTAGCTTCAGCTTCTGTATGTTTGTGTGATGTCAGAGCCTAAATGCACAAGCGCAGCTGCTAAGAACCGAGTGCTGAGCGTTGTGAGCTCCCTCCCACCCCGGGCACCCACCCCGGGCACAGCTGGTGGAGCATCAGGGAATGTGAGCCGTGCTCAGGACATGGCCTGCGCTGGGGACGTCCTTCTCCCTGGCTGGCTCCTGCAGCACCACTTGCACACACGGGGAGCCTGGGAAGAGGGAACCCCCCTAAACCACCTCAGGCATAAAGCCTTAAAGGAAAGGAGAGCGGTGGTGGCAGCAAGGGTTGGCGAAGTCCCTGGCTCTC